CTCGACTTCCTCGATTCAAATGAATGCCAAACACAAACAAATAGACCGATCTGGCTGTAACTTGGTGTGTGTTCCTCCAAGAGATGCTACTAACTAAATCTAACCTTGATACGCGCCAGTAGTGCCATCAGCAGTGACTTTGCACGGACTTTTCGAACGACCCTCGTATATATATATATATATTACATATATTTATATATGTAGATATATACGTGAGTAACCGAGGAGCTGTTGTGACTGTCGCTGCCAATAGCGTGGCCCCCGTCTTACGACACGCCTTCAAATCATTAATTTATTTGCGTTACCTCCATGCCAACTAAAGACGGACGAAGCAAGACAGCAAGAAAAGAGATTGAGGTTTCAAATTAAAACAGCTCTTATTTCTAATCACGATCCTTTCCCCTATTTCTAAAAATTAGCGCAGATCCTAGACCAAAAAAACCCGCAAGACTCACCCCGCGCAAATACATATTCCCTTAAACGGTTGGAAATCAACCTCGCGTTTCCTAATTATAAAGACATTCGAAAGGCCAATTTCCGCAGATTCGCCTATAAACTCCATAATCTTTTTAGCACCGAGTTCAAAATCACCCTTCCGATTTAGGAGGAATTCTCCAATTCCTCCTAGCGAATATCCTTAACCACACAACCTGATCTCCGATCCCTGGGTAAATTGCTTAGATGCATTGACCTTAAAACCGGAGAAAATCTCAAGCGACGCAACGTAACACTACTATTAAATTCATAATGCTGAATTGTATCCAATTTGAGTTATTTTCAATTATTTCTGTAGATCGCTACTGATTTTTTCAATATATTAACTTTCCATATATTAACTTAACAAAATAAATAGAGTTAAAAGGTTTAACTCTATTTATAGTTTTCAAGAGAATATATTAAATTTATTTAAAAATTAATTAATAATATGAACACTATTTACTCTGAAACTGAAAAATGGATGGATTTTGTCACATACTGAAGTTAAAAATAACAAAATATTGTAACTTAAGGGATAAGGTGCTCTTTTGACATCTAACAATAATGTAATACAATTAATGTTTTATTACAGTGTCTTAATTTTTTACATAGTTGTTATTTAATAGAATTTATGCGTGTATCCGAACTTTCATAAAAGGCAATGTATATACAACGCTTTAATTATTTAATTTAATTATTTAATTTTAATTAGATTTTACAATTTATATTGCAAATAAAACTCAGGGAGGTAAAATTTGGCTTGGGATATTACTGCTACGGATATAATTTAATTTGCCAGGTATGTCCTACCAATTGTAATAACGTATAAATGTAATAGAACAAATCATACTTCTATATTCAATCCTGTAAATTATAGAAATATCTAAATGGCAACATTCTATTGAAATTACTTCTCAATTAACAGCATTTATCTTTCATCGTTATGTATAAAAATCTTTCTTCTTTTACCATTATAAATAATTTAACACAAATAATTTTAACACAATAAATTTAAACACAATAAATATAATGAAAGCATAATATCTTTTTTTCAGACGTACAGTGCAGCTTTGGCTTTCTTCATAATTTTAATGCAGGTACATAATCTACAACATAACACTACAAGACAAATTTCTCAGAATCTGATATTCCGTTTCTTGAAGATTTTTCTTGCGTTTAACACGATATCGTTGGCAGAATTTGCTCTACATGTTAGTATTTTGCGAGTAAATTGAAATGAATTGGAGAAAAAATGTTTTTGGTCATTTGTTACATTTTTTTGTATCAAAAGAACTCAGATAACCAAGCATGATTTAGTAACATATATTGAGCAAACTGACGCATTGTCTTATATTCTGCATATATTTACTGATATCAAAATGGGACACAAAGTGGGTTACAAATACAGCAATACGATTACTGTATGCGTGCAATCAATTAATAAAATTTCAAAAATGAACGGCAATAGGTGTTATGCTGTCGGCAAGATGCCAACAACATAACAGCAATGAATGATTAATCATCTATCTTGAGCATTATAAAAAAAATCTGACGACAACAAAACATATATAACGATATCCATCTGTTGTTGCGTGTATGACTTTAAGCTATGAAATGTTTTAATAGATTGCCACCGTAATTTGTTGCTAAAAAAAATGTTATTACGAAAATCACTTACCCGCGAGCATTATGCATCTTTGTCAGACAGAGGACCACGGCGAAGATGCATTAACTCGTAAATAAGATCTACATGAAAAAAAAAAATAAGGAGCGCAGAATTTTGAATGTGAAGTGATCTGTAAAGTTATGCTTTAATATGAAAGTACCTATACTACGATCGAATTATAATTTCATCAAGACAGCAACGTGGTGGCATCTTAAATTCTAAATGAGTTCAATTAAGGTGAAATAAGAGTCAACGCATAACACATTTAATTAAAGATATAAGTCAAAGATACATAAAGTAAAAAACGAAGCAGAACGGCGTATATCAATGTATAAAACAATTCAGAGAAAAGATAACATTTCAAGTTTCGGCTGCTAGATTGAGCCCTCCTCAGATGTTAAATAAAGTATAATACGAATAGTAAAAGACTACATAAATATAAATAAATAGTTCAATGTCGCAACAATTTTAAAGCGCGGAAATGTGCAATTCGGTTGGATCTCGAACGTGAAGCATAATGTTATACACGCGATAGGGCAGTCAAAACGATGTTAAGATTTATAGTCAAGTGCTAGCTGAAAAACCGGAAAAGGAAAGAAACTCGTAAGAAAAGGTAAAACTTAAAAAACTAGACACGCCGCAACTAAGACAGAAAGTGCTCACTCACTAACACGCCTGAATAAATAAATGAGAACCGCTGTATATGTATAAGCGAAACAGGTGTGAAAACGCATGACGCCGGTAGAATTGTAAATGCTGAAGTCGAACATGTCAGCGCGGCACGTGACACGACCGCTCGCCGAAACGAAACGCAACGCACTGAGAAAGGAGACGGGTCGACAGTACCGAGAGTCAGACTTTGTTTATAATCGGAAAATACGCTTTATAAAGACCTTCGGTTTGTAGATTAAGACTGTTTTTCTGTCTCTTAATGTGAAGCAATTCTGAGATCAAACGCTTTCTATACGAAGGCTCTTCATCTAAGATTAGAACATTGTCCCATTGGAAATCGTGATTATGACGTAGTCTATGCTCGGTGATGACAGAGTGAGCAGAAGCTTTATGCCTGACATGGTTGCGATGTTCGGCAATTCTGGTTTTCAATTGCCTGCCCGTCTGTTCAACATAAGACGCGTCACAATTATTGCACAAAATTTTATAAACGACATTGCTTTTAGATGTGCGGGGACAAGTGTCCTTCTGGACTCTTATGTATTTGTCCATTTTGTTAGGGCTGTGGAAGGCTACCCTGATATCACTTTTGTTTTTATTTAATGTTCTGAATTTCTCTGTATGAAGCGGAATGAAAGGAACCGTAAGCCAAGAGGTAGATTCATTAGTTAAGTCGCTGTCAGTCACAACATTGTGTACTCTGTGTCTCTTTTTAATCAAATTTTTAATCCTTTGATTAATGGAGTCGAAAATGAAGTCCAGTGGATAGTCATTCTGTAGTAAAATATTAATGATAGAGGTCAAGTTTTTAGTGTGAAACATACCGTCGGATAATAAAAAGGCTCTGTCTAACGAAAAGATGG